AGCTCCCACACGCCAGACCCCAAACCCTGAACCCCAAATTGGCCCAAACCCTGAACCCTAAACCCCAAACCCTAAACCCCAAACCCTAAACCCCACACCCTAGCCGAAACCCTAAGCCCCAAACCCCAAACCCCAAACCCCAAACCCCAAACCCCAAACCCTAAACCTCAAACCCCTAAACCTTAAACCCCCAAAGCCTAAGCCCTAAACCCCAAACCCCAAACCCTAAACCCAAAACCCCTAAACCTTAAACCCCCAAACCCTAAACCCTAAACCCCAAACCCCAAACCCTAAACCCCAAAACCCGTAAACCCCAAACCCTGGACCCTCCTGCGCCAGCGTGGGAGGCCGGGCGGCCGCGGCCAGCAGCTCGAGGGCCTGTTTAGGGCTTGGGGTTTGGGGTTTAGGGTTTAGGGTTTAGGGCTTAGGGCTTAGGGCTTGGGGTTTGGGGTTTGGGGTTTAGGGTTTAGAGTTTGGGGTTTAGGGTTTAGGGTTTAGGGTTTAGGGTTTAGGGCTTGGGGCTTAGGGCTTGGGGTTTGGGGTTTGGGGTTTAGGGTTTAGAGTTTGGGGTTTAGGGTTTAGGGTTTGGGGTTTGGGGTTTGGGGTTTCGGGTTTCGGGTTTGGGCTTTGCGCTTTAGGGTTTCGGGTTTGGGGTTTAGGGCTTGGGGTTTAGGGTTTAGGGTTTAGGACTTAGGGCTTAGGGCTTGGGGTTTGGGGTTTGGGGTGTTGGGTTTCGGGTTTGGGCTTTAGGGTTTCGGGTTTCGGGTTTGGGGTTTGGGGTTTGGGGTGTCGGGTTTAGGGTTTGGGGTTTAGGGCTTGGGGTTTAGGGTTTAGGGTTTAAGGTTTAGGGCTTGGGGTTTAGGGTTTAGGGTTTAGGACTTAGGGCTTAGGGCTTGGGGTTTGGGGTTTGGGGTTTGGGGTGTTGGGTTTCGGGTTTGGGCTTTAGGGTTTCGGGTTTCGGGATTGGGGTTTGGGGTTTGGGGTGTCGGGTTTAGGGTTTGGGGTTTAGGGTTTAGGGTTTAAGGCTTGGGGTTTAGGGTTTAGGGCTTAGGGCTTAGGGCTTAGGGCTTGGGGTTTGGGGTTTCGGGTTTAGAGTTTGGGGTTTAGGGTTTGGGGTTTGGGGTTTCGGGTTTGGGCTTTAGGGTTTCGGGTTTGGGGGTTAGGGCTTGGGGTTTAGGGTTTAGGGTTTAGGGTTTAGGGTTTAGGGTTTAGGGTTTAGGGTTTAGGGTTTAGGGCTTGGGGTTTAGGGTTTAGGGCTTGGGGTGTAGGGTTGGAGTTAGGTCCCCTATTGAATCTGTTGAAGGTTACCATTTGGAGGGATACACGCTTCGCTAATTCCGTCATTCCTTACGAGGAACGAGTTGGGAAAGATGGAGTCCGCCTGAACAACCACTGCAACCCTCAGTTTTGGATGTTCGCCTTATCCTAGCAGTCCTCAATACGGATTCTAAACAGGGAGTACTCTAATCCCTTTTGGGGGCTGCTAGAACCCTAAAGGAAACTCCCAACTCTTAACCCAAACCCTAAACCCGAATAAACGCCAATAAGCCCCGAATAAACCCCAACAATCCCCCGACAAAGAACCGGTGCGTGTAAACCCTAACCCTAAACCCTAAGCCCTTAACCCTTAAACCCTACACCCTAAGATCATGAACTACCGGGAAATCCACTTCCAAGACGCCTCCGGGCACCGCCGCAGGAAGGTGCGGAACTCGCGCACGTCCTGGCTCAGGGTTTGACGGTTTAGGGGTTTGGGGTTTAGGGTTCAGGGTTCAGGGTTCAGGGTTTAGGGTTTAGGGTTTGGGGTTTAGGGTTTAGGGTTTCGGGTTTAGGGTTTAGGGTTTAAGGTTTAGGGTTTAGGGTTTAGGGTTTAGGGTTCCGGGCTTCGGGGACCTCGGGCTCGAGGTCTGGGGACTGCCCGAGTGGGGCTCGAATGGTGTTGGGGTTTGGGGGTTTAGGGCTCAGGGTTTAAAGCTTTGTACCCTAAACCCTAAACCCTACAAAAACCCCAAACCCTAAACCCTAAACCCTAAACCCTGAACCCTAAACCCTAAACCCTGAACCCTGAACCCTAAACCCTAAACCCCAAACCCAAAACCCTGAACCCTGAACCCTGAACCCAAAACCCAAAACCCTAAACCCTAGGCTTAACCCTGAACCTTGCACCCTAAACCCCGCCAAAAAAATCCCAAAAAGGGGTAACCCCCCCAAGTCTTCCCTCAGCCCTTGAAGTTCCACTAGCTT